CTGGAACTGTGAGTTTAACAAAAATCAAACTTCTCTCAAACAACCCCGAAGAATCTCCATGACCAGCTCTGGCAACAACTCAGCTACAGGAGCCCAGGGCTCAACTCTTCACAGTACTTTCAGTGAAACATGTATCGATTTAAAAAAAACCAAAGTAAAGCACACAACAAATGCAATATGCATTTACCTTTAGTTTGGGGGCTATTGGAGTCTTCCATAGAAAGTTTCAGTTGCTGTATGAACTCACTGCCATACACACTCCTTTCTTGCCAGATGTTAAGCAATCGTTCCAAGGGCTTTTTGCAGCCCTCATCTGCTTCTCTGTTCAAAGATTAGAAAATAATTAGAGTTCAACTGAAAAATATTCCTTAAATTTTAAGAGAGCATCTTCCCAACTAGCAGCTGCATCCACTGTAATATTTGCATGTTTGGAGAGAATCTCTCTCATATTTTCTGAGACAAACTGTGCAAAACGCATTTGTGGCCTATTTTCCCCTTTTATTGGGACCAAAGATTGCCTGAAAGTGCCCCACATTCCCACCCCAAAGTAAAAGCAGGAAAAGTTTTGAAGGAAGAAACTTGCTATCATTCAGAATTTGCAAGAAGAGTTATAAAAAAAACACCCCAAGTTGACATGTTTACAATTCAGAGTATTAACTTTAAACAGTTGTTTCAGTCAGCAATATCCCAATTAAAAAGCAAGTTGTTTGGATCATTAGACACTTAAATGCACTCATATAGCGCACTGAAAGTTAGACAGCCATCCAGAACAGCATACCACTAAACAGACAGAACATTAAAGTTGTTTAGTTGAGATAACAGGAATTATTATGCTTTTTAGAAAAATTCTTAACTAAATTATAGTCCATTTTTGACAGGATGGTAGCTGCACCACTTTTTCCCTTTTAGGTATAAAATTCTTCCTTCCTCCAGCAACGAGACTAACAATCATATAACTGTTAAAACAAGCGATGTAAAAAAACCCCATGCTCAAACCAGAAGACTGACAGATACTAGATCTTTTAAAGTCTTCTGACAATGGAAGAAAAAAAAACCCAAAACATTCATTATGTGGCTTTAACAAACATACACAATTCAATTTCACTACCCATGAACAGATCTACAAGATCTTTTGGTAACAATTAAAATAAAGTACATAGGAGTTGCATGCAGAAAACAAATGTGTAAAGCTGTGAGGGGCTTCACATACAAACAAGTTTCTCCAAAGAGAAATATTAACACTAAGCAGCTCCTAGCCACAAAGAGTCCAGTCTCTACTAGAAGGAGGATATAAGCATCCCTGAGGCTTGAAAAACCAAAACCAATAAAATCCAATTTAATTTAACTTTGTATAACAAGACTGCAAATCTCTAGACAGAAAAGTTTTAGTACATAACACAGCAACGTACCTGGCAACATGAGAAAAAGCATCCACAAGAACAGATTCAAATTCCCTAGTAAATTCAGGACCCTTCCTCTTACTGTTCTGGATGACATCGTTTGCTAAATATAGGAAAGTAAGTTTCCTACTCGATTTTGCTGGGAAAAGGAAAAAAAGAAGAAAAAAAAAAGTTTGCATTTATTTCTCCCTTCTTTCACCTTGAATCATTAACATGGTTTTCAAAGTTGCTTATAGTTTTTTAGCCTAAAAACAAAGTTCAAAACATTTCCATGTTACCAAGGCAAATCAGAGGCCTTCAAGTCAAGTAGCTCTTGCTCTCCTTACCTCTGTTTGGTTTTTTTCCTAACCAATTTATAAAACAAACACGGGCTTAATACTTTTTGCGCACAGTGACACAACAACTCTGAGGAAACCCATGTAAGAAATAAACTTTAAACGCATGATTAAAATGAGCTGTTCTAACCTAGCAGCAAGTTAATGTAGTAACAGACTTATTTTTCATTAATTAACTTCAGGAAAAAAACTTGGTATAGTACAACTTAATTCAGAACAGAGTGAAATCACAGGAGAAAGCTACTCTGGAGACTCAAATATTTTTCCAGACAATGCTGTGCCACAGCAACATTAAATTTCTTCCATATACCATAACTTTTTCCCATCTTGACACCATCAATTTCTGTTTTACTACGACCAGAATTGGTGGGAGATGCTGTTCTCCAGAGTGCACTGGCCACAAATATGCACACAGGAGACAGAAAACAAAAGCGCTTATTTCCACAGCAGGCCAACCTCAGATCTTTCAGAGATTCATACTTAATATACTATAATGAGCAACGACTAGCAATCACATGAAAGACTCCAGCTAAGACTTCACCAGCATCATCCACTCCAGGGGCTAATGCTGCCGGCTGCCCGGGGAGAAAGGTGACGTTGGCTGGATTCACAGCTGCCCCTGGGGACAGGGCATCAACACTGACAGTCTCCCCAGCTTCATTACGAAGCAATTTGGGAAGTTACCAGAAGCTAACTTTAGTTAGGTTCATCTGCAAAGGAAAAAAAAAAAAAACAAACCCCACAAAATATTTCTGGATGATTCTACCAAACAGTTTTTACAGATCTCTGCAACCACTTTACATTGCTTACCTCCTAACCCTTTGGTGCAATTCTATAATGGATAAGCAGTATGAATCCAAATCCAAAATTTAAAAGCAAAAAAACCAACAAAGCACTTCACAGTTAACCTGAGCACACCCAGGGGAAAATGCTTCGTACATCTTTGTTTTACAACCGAGCTGCCTGGCCCAGCAAAGCAGCACGGCTGAGGATCCCCTCTCCTCTCAACTAACACTTCACTGTTTTAAACAACGTTTGTATCCCCCGCGTTCCTAAACACCACCTGTACCAGCACACACCAGAACACACACACACACGTACCCGTGCGCCACATTCCCTACGAAGTGTAATAAATAACCGCAGCAGCAGCACGGCGTCCAG